ACATCGTTTTGTTATCTAAAATGTGTCTTGTCTGAAAACAAACATTTCCCTTCAGTTTGCCAGCATCTGCAGAGGTTGCTTCTGTTTTACCATTCATCTTCATTGCTTGTCAGTTTTAGAGCAATGTCTAATTTTCACTAGACTGCACGAAAACTACTTCTAAATGTCATCACTTGGCTACAAGTTTAAAACAAACAGAAGTCCCTAATGGATTGATAAGCTACATGAACACATAAACACATGAAAAGAAAAGATAAGATACACATGGATTTAACATATGGAAAAATTTGGAATATTTGTTTGATCAATACAGTACACAGATTTTAGAACTTCAAAAGACACAGTTTGGCATTACGTTTGTTCTACAACTTTACTTGGAGCTATGTCATTTTTGCCCACTAATCCTTCGCTGTGAATCCAATCTATTAAGCCATTTAATAAACGAGCTATGGCTCATTGGCATTAAAAATAATACATTTATGCAAACTGTTTGTCTATCTAATCTGTTTCAATCCTGAGTTAATCCATCTGAGTATCTCTTGGGTGGAGATCAGAGTGAGCAAGTATTTCCCATGGGAGTAAACCACTGCTACTGTGCAGCAAAAACAGTCCATGTACTTGTTTCACACTGAAAATGTATCAGACATCAGTGCCAGTGGCCTAGGGCATGTTGAGCATTCAAAGTCGAAAAGCTTTTAAAACAAAATACAAACAGCAACTAGAGTTCCCCGATCTCATACCTTCGCCAAATGATGTTAATCTTTATGACTGACAAAGTTAAGATTAGATTATTCCCCCCTGATTTAAGAAATAGGAACCTAATTTTCATGAATTATATCATTTTATCATAATCTCAACCAAAAAAACAGTCTTATATTAACAAAGAATGCATTCTAGCATTTCCTAATAAATTATGCAAATGAGGTCCTGATTTGAATAAATTATGTTTAATGATGTTCACCTCAATTTAACTTTCAAATACCACAAGTATGAAATTCCAGGCAGTTATCATTACATAATTATAAAATTTTCTCATTAATTATGCAAATTAAGTCATTATTAACATAATCAACATCTTCCTGTGTTTCTCTCGTTGTCAATTACCAATGTCACAAGCTTCAATTGTTCTATCATGGAATGCAGCTGATTTATAGAATTTCCCCATAAATTATGCAAATTACATCCATATTTGCATAATTTTCACATAATTATATTAAGCATCACGTAAGCTACCTACATACCAAAAATCACGACGATCCGTCAACCAGTTCTTGAGTTATCCCCTTTTGAATATTTTCAAGAATTTATCCCTGCAGTTCCAGAGCAAGCCGCTAGGGGGCCCAAACTCACGTCACTTCTTTCCCAGCACAAGAGCTACCTACCATCCAAATTTCATCACCATAGCATGGCTAGATCATGAGATATCAAAACCGGAAGTTCAGCTGCAGTACCATTACAAGCCGCTAGGGGGTCCAAAATCTAATCATTTTGAGGTCTCATCAAGACCTACCCACCTACCAAGTATCAAGACAATCCATCAATGCCTTCTCAAGTTATCGTGTTTACAGACAGACAGACACACACACACACACACACATACACGAACGCCCCTGAAAACATAACCTTCTTGGCGAAGGTAAATATTTGTGAGAACTGTCCCAGAGTCTGTTTTCCTTATGTTACTGTCTTTTTTGTTTCCAAAATCACTGACACTACAGCAACATTATAGATATCAGAAACAGTTCTGATATTATGGTTGTGGCTCTGTTAGTTACAATCGAGATTAACAAATTGAAGTTGTCACATGGCCAAAAATCTACTAGTACCTTGGTTTTCTAACAACTGACTTTTTTACCTCCGGGGAAGGAGACATCCTTCCGCGAGGAGGTTTTACTATTGTTCGAAACATTTCTGTCAGCAGCTGTTTCTCGCGATCGGCTGGACGGATTGGTCTGTTGTTCGGTGTACGTATTGCTATTGGGCTGCAGATGATGCAGAACGTTTTTGTTTAATTGTATATGTGTTTATGGGCGTCGAAATAAAAGGTTTTTAAGTGCTCCAGACACCCCCGCCATGCTGAAAATGGAATTTACCATGTTGTTAAGGAATGGGGAGGTTTCAGTTTTGGGTCTTACCATTTAAAAGGGGTCAAACAGAGGGGTGTCTGCTTCCGATATGTATTTTGAAATATTATCGCAGTTGTATCTCGCGTTGGGGTAGACTGGACTCGGTGTATGTTCTTCTAATGGGCTGTAGATGGTGCAGGTTTTTTTGTTTTTATTGTATATGTGTTTTGGGGCGTAAAAATCTGAAAATCGTCGCGCGCGGCGCTGGGCTGGCTGCCAGCGCAACTTCCGGGTGGGCCAATGGGTCAGGGGTCAACGCCCTCTTGCGCAATCTTGGATGTTTTCGGCGTATAGTACGACTTCTTAACTTACAAATACCGTGGTATACTGTCTCAGACGTTCTCGACATGCATTTTTACCGTGGGTACATGGTATGGGCTGCAGATGAAAATGTTGACCAGTCCTGTATTAACACAACCAGGAACGCTAAATCTAACACATAAAATTCAACACCATCAACTATACAGAACAAACAACATGGAAAAATATACAATAAAAAGCCCGGAGGTATAAAATCTCAGATTTTACTTGTTTATTTCTAATTTGGGTCTGTAACCTGGATCTTTTAAAATTTAATGCCATCCCAACATTTTACCATGCAGCATTTACGTGAAGTCTAATAACATCATATCAGAGTGCTGTTAGCTTTTTATTAGTTCTATTGGATTTAAAATACACATTTTCAGTCCACTCTTGTTTTATGAGGTGTTTATGGCCCCACCGTGGGGTCACAAGGTCCCATGGTGTGAATGTTTGCATTTCGTCTGACGCCCTCCCTACATACATTAAAACTTTATCAATATGTACACAAGCACTGACGTTTTTCCTGTTCCTTTCTGTTGCACAATGGACGTTAAACTTGACTATGCTCTTGCCTAATGAACGTGAGTGTACGAAAAGATAAACTCTTGTGTTTTCTAGATGCTTAGAAACAGTTGCATCATCATAATTTGTTCCCACATATTTCAGCTTCCATAGAACTTGGATGATTAATTGCATGGTTGACAGAAAGCAGGACAAAGGTCAAAGTTTTTCTACATGTCCTTGCAAAAAATGGCTTCAAATTCTACACAAAACAAATTAGCAAAAATTCCACCCAAAAAGACATGGTAATTAGCTAAAGAAAATTAACTGTAGTTTCATGGTACATTCTACTACATTAGAGCATTAAAACAACCAATTTACATGGTATAAACTGATTGAGGAAACTTCCACATAATACTAGTATATCTCCAGACCAACTGTGGTAGCAATAGATTGTGCCCTTAGGAAAGAATGTTACAATTACAAAGGAGTCTTTCCAGCATACTAAAGAAGACCTCCTACAGACAATGCTATCACGCTGGTCTATCTGACCTGATTCTCAGAGAATACTGCAGAACAATCCTCAAACTAAGTGAGACAGGGAAAGTGGATACTTTAAGAGGCTTTGTTTTTAATCCTTCAACAGCAAAAGTTGAGATAACACCTGTTTGCTACCAGAAGACACTAACATACCCAGATGCACCCTTTCTCTGGTCTTACAGAAGACAAATGAGTTCACAAAGGCATAGGATGACTTCAGGCTACTGAGTTGTGTCATTGCCGCAAGCGAATAACAATAAAAAACTGTACATTTACTGACTTCAGGTGTGGCAACCATCAAAGCAATCTTAACTGTTGTTTTCGTTCAATTTTCTGCTTCACAGTAAGTTGGTACTGGCCAAACAAGGTGCTGGGACATTGTTTTGACTTTTCTGACTAAAGCACCATTTTGGTGACAGAATTTAAGATAGTTAAAAGATACCAATATATATTTTTCATCAGCCATTTTCTTCGTCACAATGTTCCATTCTTTTATGCTGCTTGTTTCATGTTTGTTATGAAAATTGGGTAAAACCAGATTTAAGTGCATAGCACAGCACATCTTTGTGTGAGGGCAAGTCTGGATGAGTTGCCTAGTGATTTCTGGTGTTGGGTTTTCATAGTTGGATTTGCTGTAAAGTTCCATAACAGCAGCTGACATCAGCACTGGATAAGATGGTGTAAATGATTCATGTACACTTATCACACATTAGCCTAGGCCACACCAATCTAATCAATTGGTTCTCGGATTCGCAGTGGTTTGATTAAAAGCTCAAAATTCATTGTAATATTTGGGGCAATTGTATGATGTCTATGCCATTTTTTTCCCTGTTTCCCATATTTCTTTACAAAAAAACACATTAAATTGGTATGGCAATCAATGACTATGTGTATCTGAATTTGTGAAAATAGAAAAGGCAACAATTTCTGCACAAAATCATAGCAACATGTTCATAGCGTAATGCTTTCCAAAAAGCTAATAATTGCTGACATGAACGGGCAAAATAAAAAAATACTGTATGATTTTTAGTGTATGTGTACCACTGTCTACCCTGGCACCATAACACTTTTTGTGATGGCAGAATGGACATTTAGGCTGAATCTAACATGTTCTAACTCTGCTCTTTCGTTTCCAGTTTCCATGACAACTGAACACTTTAATAGGAGCAAAATTATCAGGAAAACATTTCTCCAACCCTCATACTCATAGGGCCTGGCACCTCCTGATGCCCCCTGAAAAACGTGCTAAACCTGCGGTTCTACCCACCAGCATGTGTCCACTGTTGCCACCCGTATTTGTTCATTTTCTTCACCATGACGAAAGGTTTGGACGTGAAGCGTCCATCTGTCTGCAACCTTGCAGGCGACCAAATAAGCCTCCTAATCCATCCAAGTCGGAAATCATTAAGTAAAACAAAATTATGCTAACCAAAAAGGTGTGAAAACTGTGAGGAAGGGGGCTAGTTTGTAGAGTCACGCGTACGAACGTTTGAGTAAACTTTAGGAATACATGTTTAGTCCACAACTCACCTAAGCTCTCGATGACGAAGTGACGAGGTGGTCGGAGCGACCGTCTCGTCCAGGCGTCTCGCAGCGCCTCCAAGTCCTGCTCCGAGCCTTGGACGAACAGGGTCTGAGGATCGAACCAGCCCAGGTAGTCGATGCGGTTGATACCGCTTACCAAGTCCTTGTTCCAGTAGGAGTTGCGATTCTGGGCGACGAAGTCCGAGAAAATGTCCCGGCCCGTCCGCGTCAGGGACTGGGGGCGTTCGTCGTCCGCGATCTTCAGGAGGATGGCGAGGGAATGCGGCGCTAGCAGGATGCCGTGAGACGTCCTGTCAGCCTTCCCCGACATTTTGTCCTTGTTCCTGTGGCGTCTCTTGACTCCGGGTGAGACTCGGGCCGTGTCAGCGGCGCATTTACATGACACAGGCTGCGGGTCTCCCATCGTGGACTCTCGGCCGACTGGCTTTCTGCTTGTTGTGGGGTCCAGACGCAGAACAAATCAAACACGGGGCTATGATTGGAGGTTCCGGGGACGCTTGATCAAACAAATAAAACAGTTTCATCATGCTCATATAACAACGAAAGCTTTATGACGGGTAATTCTATTAATCTGTTGATTTTAAAAACTTAACAAATGGATATCAACGAAATTGGTTGACTTTGTACAAACTTTTTGGCATGAAAGGATCGTCCGCGTCCTACTTGAACAGCCTCCCATTTGTTGAACTAAAGAGGTGGAGAACAAAGCAACCGCTGTTTGTCAATCAAATCTCAAGCGAACTCCCGTTGTTTTCAGGTTAGCTGCCTGTCCACAAAGGTGAAAAAGTTGTGGAAATTAATTAATCCGACAATATTTTATGGAATCAATGTTTCTCTTTATCTAAAGTCTACCATAGACACTATGTAATGGCTAACATTTACGATGTTCTTCAGAATTTAGTGTTATTTTTGTAGGCATAAAACAATCGCTGCAACAGACAGCTACAAAAGTTGCGGTGGTGAAGTTGCGACACCTGTCATACCTGTAGGCAATACACCTAGGAATACACAAGTGCACCCAAGGGGTATCCTTCCATCTGATAACAGCTTTTGTTGGTACTTAATGGACCACAACAGACACACACCTTTTGTTCTACCTGTGAAAGTCTCTCTTTGATAGGGGCAGATTGTCTTTGAGAAGCCTTTCAATATATCTCATGGTATCAATGATCTGGTAGAAAGATAGTTTTCACTGACATACATGTATATTCATTCTGTGGTGGTACAAATTTAGTATTTTTTTTATTATATATGACACACATGCTTATCTCCAAGCCGATCTTATGGTGGCTGACAGAAAAGACACCAGTACAAAAAAGAAAGCCAGATGAAAATGCCTAAAAACACACAGAATATAAGCCGAAGCTAAACCTTTGCTAGGACTGAGAGCAATGTACTCATTTGAACTAGCAAACTCATGGTTTAAAAAAATAAATAAAAGCAAAGCAACTACAGGCAGTGTACTTTATGAACGAGGACTAAATGTTGAATAAGAAAGCTACAACCCAAGAATACTGTTAATTTTACGAAGGAAATGATAAAATCATAAATAATGGTGGAAATTTTTTTAATGTTAAAACTTGAGTGTTTGTGAAAACGTTGTCTAGCATTAAGGACAGCATGCTATCATTTATTATTCTAATTAGCCAATAAAACCTACTTATGGAGTCAACCTGATTGATCATCTATTGAGGACCAATGCCCTGGGGACACACACAAAATGTTCTACCAAAATTTAAAGCCCCCTTTGGTATTGTTCACCTCCTTTTAAAGTACAATGTACCATTTCAATACTGGTAGTATTTGATAATTCTAATTAGATAAATTATCAGGAAGTGAGGTTACCGACGAATCCCAAAGCCCACCGACTGTTAAAGCCTGGATATGCAAAATATTTGACAGATAAGCAGCCACTCTTTCATTGGCCAAACCAGTAATTGCCATGCTATTATTGGTTGAACTGTTAATTATGATGCACAGTCATGATTGGTCTATTCAATGTTCATAGCCAGTTTGTGCAAAGTACCACTAATACATTTCAATCATAGTTCCATTCAATATCCTAAGAAATACATTCAAGTCCTAAGAAATACATTAAAGTAACATTTCTAGCTGTATACACGTGTATGATAATTACAGCAAAAAAACATTAATTATCATAACAATACACAATGGCATACACATTCAAGTACACAAACATCAGGTAACAAGTCATTTTATTTCTGTTACTGTTTCCTTTAACTGTACATGTAATAAAAACTTTCATATCCATAGGGCCCATTTCACAAGTACTGAATTTTGTAACATTAATACTACTGAGAGGGATGGAGGCTCATGATGATGATGATTGCTAATTGTGTGTTTTCCAAAGACAAAATTTTTGTCCATTCCTTTACGAGTCTGTCCTTGGCAGCAGTAATGTTCAATTCCAACAGTTCCAACTCAGCCTGCAAATTTAACAGAACCGTTTTCCATCCCAATACAACAGAGTGCTGTGAATACGCTCGGGCAATGTACACTCGAGTACACTACACTGGCAAAAAATCATCCGTACTTTCGCAAGATTAGTATTCATTGCAGGCATCATGCTAGGAACACATGTATGTACAAGCTGTCTGTCTGTCACTGGTCAGAAAAATGCTGTCCAGATTGTACTCTCTCTAGTCTTCAGCTTCCTTCTTGCCCTGTATGTCTCGCTTCATTCTCTCCTCAAACTTGGCAAACTCTTCTTTGGCAACGCTGTCCACTTCATCTTCAGCCTGAGGTATGGGAATAGCACATTCAACTGCGTGTATGCTATGGTCATGATTCCAATCTCAGAGCCAGAACAGCCAGTTTGCAGGAATGACGAGTATGATATAAAAGACAACTAAACACAAAAAAAGTGGATGAAATTAATCATGAGCGCTACTTGTGTAAGTAAATATATTCTTGATATGAACTGCATGTAGTTATTTTTCATTCATGCAAACGGCTGTGGAATACTCATCCCTTCAATCTGCAACCAACTACATTTCCAGACTTAAACAATAAAGTTTGCTGGAAAGAAGTTCACATTCAATGATTTAACAGATATGACAAATCACTGTACTGATCTTACCTCTTCAACCCCCTGCACCTCTGGTATGTAGAACTGCAGCATGTTTTGTACGCCGCTTCTCAGAGTAACGACGGAGCTCGGACAGCTGGAGCACGACCCCTGCATCTTCAGCTTCACGATCCCCGTCGCGTGGTCAAACCCTACGTACACGATATCTCCGCCATCTTCCTGCACCGTGGGTCTGGTTTTATAAAGGAAATTCAATGTTAACTTCACATGATCTACTGCTCTGTTTATTCTTAAATGCATACATCTATATGGTGATAAGCCCCTCTAACTTTGTCCTGTCACTGGCTACATACTCAGTAATGTAATCCAATACCATAGGGTGCCTGCTACAACACCAGTTACCATGGTGACAGCTGTCTGGTCCAGGTCATTGACCTTATTTGTTTGGAAGGGAGGAAAAGGAAGAGGAAGAAGGAGCATTGCATGATAAATGATTTCACCCACACCACTCTTTCCTGGTCTAATCCTACAAATCAAAACATGAAGAGCAGCCCCAACTGGAAACCCAAATTCCTACTTGGCTGAAGAATCCACGTCTCCTCTACTCTGTCTAAACCATGTACTTCCCAGGGACAGTGACAACTGACCTGATCCTGGTGTCCAGTAGCTCCTTAATCATCTGTACTGTCTCATCATCATCTGGGTGGATGACTGGAGGAAACAACAAGAGTACCGTAAGTTTTACAAAACTGAAAGGATCTTTTGAAATCATTGCTCATCAGCTGATGCATTGTATTTTCCTTTTTGAATGGACAAGTACTATATTTAGATCATTTCCTTGGATGTTGACATGTGCCATGATTGAAAGCTGTATCAGGGGGAGCGGTATCTGTCTCTTCCCTCGATACAGCTCTCCTGAAAATAAACTGCCATCTAGCCATGCTCATAGAACACAAATGCTCTCTGTGCAAAGTCTGTGCAGGAGGCTAAAGACTGACCTGTATCAGCTGGAGCAGGCTCGTCTGTCAGGATGGGGAGTCCACTGGCAAAGAAGTCCATGATGGTGGCAAAGATGTCAGGCTTGAGAATCTGCCAGTCATACGTGTCATCATCCAACTGCATATGTAGAGGGGTATTTGATAGAAGAATCTTATAACAAGTAGAGTACAATCAGACAATAGAACGCTGTACAGAGTGATTGGGAACTGCCATGTCAGTGTTGTATACATGTATATGCACTTACTGTATATTTGTATATTTCTGTCATTAAAAGTTGAAAACATTTTAATGCCATATATATAGGAATGGAAAGTTGATATGTGAATAAAGAATTGAACTGACAATACATTACTTTTACAAAAGAGTTAAGCAATATATAATAGTAAAGATTTGAATCATTCCTTTGCATATGTACAGTACCTTCAGTTCCACATCATTAAGGATTACTATCCTGGTCCAAACATATCTGAATCATACATCTATCTCTTCCTCACCTTTGTGACAGTGATGAAATCTCTCCCAAAGAACACACCAGACACTCCTTCAATTCTGAAGAGTTGTCTGAAATAGGCAGCAAAACAATGAATCAGATACATAGTGACCAGCCCCTGCAGCTCTGTCCTGCCAATTGCTACATAATGTAATCCAATACCATAGGCTGTCTGCTACAGCACCAGTTACCACAGTGTCAGCTGTCTGGACCAGGTCATTGACTTTATTTGTTTGGAGAAGCAGAATATGAAGAAATGGAGCAAAAACATAGTCAACATAGAAGTCAACATAGATGCCTTTCCCCTTCCCTTCCACGTGTATACCAACCTTGCCAGAGGAGAAGCATGTGCTGAGCTGTGGTTGGGGAAGTCAAATGTTCCAGTCTCTAGAACCTCACAGCCTGGTAGGAACTTCAGACTGTTGGGGTTTGGTGTCTCCTGAATCTGGATAAACATGGTTCGTGCTGCAGCAACAGAATCAAAACAAAAGAACAGTAAGTAAGGTACTAGTATCCATGTTAACTTGAAAGTGAGTTTGTGTTGGTAGAAGCCATTATGATACATGTACCAGTTCGAACTGTGCTTTCCCAAGAACTCAAGAAATTGAAAATCCCTCAACAGAGACGGAGGGTGCCACAAACTTTCTGCAACTAATGATTCACCGCTCTTGAAGACACATGTGCTATCTACATAACGTGACCTTACAAAAGTGCTGGATTGCTCTGTGAGTCTTTGACAAAGACTTCAGATGAACAGTCAGAGGTTTGGGAAGGTTTTACTGACCTTGCTGCTGCTGTCCCACCCATGATAACACCACTGGTCTGGCCAGAAGAGATGGACATCCCTCTGGGCCTCTTACTCTCTGTAACCCACTGTACAACCGCCCAGGTCTACAAAAGTAATATTTCAATTACATACCTTACATAATAACCACCAGGTTGATAGTGAAAATGTGGTTACAAACATGATGTAGTGGAAGGGCATGCCTCCATCACAATGTCATGCATTCGTCTGAGTTCTTAACAAGAAAGTGCAGATCAGACTTCTGACATCACTTCATAATTTTGTTGAATAAGATTCTATTAAACCTCCTTGATGGAAATAATTTGGAGGTGCGCATTTTCACTTCACCCCCCTCCCATCGATCGCACCATATGAACACATTTTCTAGCATGTCTTTGAATACAACGTTCCTTAATACCCAGCACACTAGAACTATTGCATAACACTTTGCCTCAAGTTAACGCCGAGAAACGTTCAACTTACAAACATCGCTTCGGAGCGGAGAAATCACGCAAGAAAGACCGAAATCGCAGCAGACGCAAACCACGGGCAGCCATCTTGTTCGTCTTCACCTTGCGCTGTGACGCCACCTGTCGTATGTTATCAGTACTGCAGGTAAATGTATAAAGGTCATGATGATTTGTTGTCACTCCAGGCAGATTCATACATATAACATTAGCTATCATGACCATTTGCTGTATTGAGGGCAAAAAATGAGCAGCATGTATCAACAGGTCTGATGCTGTTTTGAGGGGACCGTTATTATGAGGGTGGGAGGGGAGCAAGAGGTTAGCATGGACGACACAAGCAGTCAATGGGGAAGCAAGGGTATTAAAATAAAACTTAAGCACAACAGTGTGGCACATTTTAACACTTGATTTTACATTAACACTACCATTAGCATATTTGCATGTATAAACTATATTTTAACATTCATATTTCTTTGCAAAAATATAAGTGTGCTTAATTTTATAGCTCTGCACAAAATTACATACCCATTATTATAATGGTGCATTCCAACTCCCATTTGTCGTCTGCAAATCTTCCTCCACGACGCAAAGAAAGATGGCAGCTTCACAGTCTGACGGTCCGGACGGTATTCCTCACATATTTCCACCCAAGGTACGACTTCCAGGCGAAAGATCAGCTTCTCCTTTGAGAACATAGATCTCGAAGGCCTACGCTACATGTACAGCCCATTTTGATGTAGGTATCGTTACCTGATCGTTGTATATTCGGGTAAGTTTATTAGGCATTTGAAGAGGAAAATGTTTGCGTTTCTTCCTGTGTGCCATACACATGTATGTTGTGGTGGCGGAAAATTATTCTGCTACTAGTATATCCCGCATTTCTTGAATTTTCCAACACTCTATGATCGTTGAAAATAGTACTTGGCAAAGGGTGACGGTTGTAGGGGTTGTTCAATCATCGCAAATCAGCCAGTTAGTGATCCTGGTCTGGATAATAACGGTACAAATTATAACGGGACGGGGGTTTTGTCAGTTGCCCACTCCGAGTGATTCCATATGGTGTCTGGTTCCCGGGTCACTGCTAGCCGTGACCTATGACGACGTTTTAGTCGTTTGTGACATCAAAATGCGGCAAGTAAAATGGAAGTGTGTGCGCATCATGATCTGATAAATTTATGAATTATGATTTGGAAGAGTCGTTTTGATAGCACTCTGATAATCTGTTAATACCAAAACCTGATTACTTAAAGTATTTCACCCCAGGGGATTGAAGTATTATTTTGACGTCTATTTGTCTGTTAGTTTGTATGTGTGTGTGTGTATTTCTGGAATATAAACAACCCAACATCACCATATATTTTCTTAACATTGATTAACATCCCCTGCTATTTTTGTTGGTGGGACTGGAATAGTTGCAAAGCAGTATGGGTTAGGGGGTGAATTCTGCCATCTCTGATTGCCTTATTATGCACCATATTTAGAATTAATGGTACATCATCTAAAAGGCCATATCTTGTCTGTATGATCTTTTCAAGTGAAAATATATGTATGTTGTTTTTGCAGGCAATAGACATATTGACATTGTTTTGGGTTTCTATTGTTGACAACTCAGCCTGTATGCATCAGTAATTTTGAAAGGAAAAAAAAAACATTATTTTTCTTTGTGCTTTACTCCCATTAAATGCATGTCACAATAGATTTACATTTGTACAGCTGTGTTTGGAAAAAAGTTCTCTCTTTGTTCCAAGGTTTTTAGAAGTTATGATAACATGATAATGGTGAGGCATTGTTTGTTATGCCTGATATCAGATTATCACCCCATGTGGCACCTGTTGAATTCCCATCTTTCAAATCATCCTAACTGATAAAGAAAGGTACTACACAGATAACACACGCATGCTGAAGTAAGCAAATTTCACTTAAAAGTTGTAATTTGGTTCTCGTACACATACATGTACCTGTGTAAAACCAACCACTTTTTAATTGGTTTGGTGAGCATTCAACCTTGATGTTCAGTAGACTGTAGAATTGACCACAAAAGAACTAGATGTAAGAGTAATGGTCTCTGTCAGGATTAAGTGTTTTTTCAGCTTGACACTATTTTTGGTATCCCTCCTGCTTTGTATAAGATTTCCAAAGAGCTGTACTTGCATATATCAAGGACATTATGTCCTTGCATGTATACTGGCTGAAAATATAAATGTGACATATTGGTTTTGCTGACAGTTTTTTTTTTTTTTAGTTTGCCGTTGCCTCACAATTTTTATTCTCATTTTTTAAACTGATGTATAGCTGTGTTACTGAGCATCTAACCATGATGAAATATTGACAGCATGATTATGACACATTGACAAGTGTGTGTGTTAGGACGTTTAAATTGTAAACAGCTACTCTGGTCTAAAACGTGCATTTTTCTCACAAAACACAATGCCATGTACCGGTAGGTGTTATGGTGTGTGAGTCCCATCCTAGAGTTACCTATGTTACCCCTGATGTTTGGGAAATTGGTCCTTTAGAAATGGCGTTGTTTATTAACTGTTGCTGTTTAGTAACTGTTGCTAAGGTGACAACTTTGTTATTAGTAATTAAATTATGGAAAACCATTTGGCCTCACAAAACTGGCTCTTGTTGAAAGGTGAGCCATGACGTTTTAAGGCAACTTAATTGCAAGCCACAACTAGTGAAGAATTTTCTTTCCCCAAACACCCTTAGTCTATGTGTCACATACTAGTTCAAAATCTCCTCCTCACTACCTAGGTGCTAGCTCTCCAAATTAAAAGTTATGCCCTTCGCAGAGTCCTGCTGCATGTTTACATACCCCACTGCTTTCTCTTCCAAGAAAAGGAGGTTAGTAACAGGCAGACATCTGGAGTAAATTCAGATAGATTTGTAAAGGGAGACATCATTTATTTGCCCAGTACCTTTTGAGGTCAAATCATGTGAAGACTATATAAAATGTTGAAAAGACACCCTTATTATCATCATCTTACCTTTTTGCAGACACTTACTTTGGCCTTTTTTATATTGAATCTATTTTTTCAATGAAAAAAGCCTGATGTGCAGGTTGCATGTCACTCTAACAAGACTAAATGATGTTTACTTGCATGGTTGTAGTCCCACTATTTCCAAGAAGATTAGACACTTATAATTATACATATAATTAATACACATCTTTTGTCACAAGTTATGGACTGTTCTAGAAATTCTTGAAATCAAAATTAAACTGTATAGTAGTAATATCCGTTAATAGTGTTATGTTCTGGTGATGTGTTATAGTGTGAGCATGTTGTGATTTATATTGCCAGTGACCAGCTTGACCCTGCTCTGCCAGTCTGAGTTGGTTCTGTCTAATTGATGCCTTCAAATCTTCATGTTCTACTAGCTGAAGGTAGTTTGAGAGCAGACACCAGTTGTGCAGCGTTGTGCAGCGGAGGCCAAAAAATGGGAACACGATTGTAGTGCCTAGTTAATACCTTTGAAAATCCTTTTTTCTCTTGGAAGTTTTGGTGCATTTTGGAGATTTTGGGACTGGAAGGCACAGGTAGGGTGTAAACTTTCCTACTTTGGTCAAGTTTTCTTATTTCAGCAGTTTAGTGGGCATAATGAGAGATGATAGTGGTTAGGTCTTGTCTGGCCAGGTGGATGGATACCATGGAAAATTAGGTCAAAGTTGAGGTTTTGTTACCATCATCATGTACATTCAGCCATCAAAATTAAAGGGGGATAATTCTTGGTGCCTTTCTTTGTCCAACTAAATGGATAGACTTAAATGGCAAATGTACATAAGAGAGGAAAAAAATTAGCTTTTATCATAATCTTAAATCATAATCTTTTATTATTACTAGGCTCATGCTAAATGGCTACTAACCTTAAGGCCTTAAAGACCTTAAAAGGCTACTGGTAACTATCAATAATTGATCACTTCTGAGCTAAATCTGTTCTTAACACACAGTTGAGAACTAGCAGGGATGTGTCAGTAAATGTGTTTGTCTACATGCAACCAAAGTCTGGATCTACATATACACAACATGTACATGTAGATCTTGGAGAATGGCAGCAATTTATATGATGTTGTAATGTGTGCTTTTTATACATTATCTAGAGCAGCATTTGTTGGAGATAACACGCAATGATATGGAGTTGGTGTGTTAGGCTGAAGGGCAGTTATATACTGGCTATACAGATAGAGATTTGAACTCAAATCCAGTCTAAGAAACCCCAGAAACTACCAAGTGCCTCTGGTATTGTAGTGCAAATAGTTGATATTTAACTCAGAGATTCATAGGCTTGAACACCAAAGTCTCGACAATGACTGAGATATACTTTTATTTCGATGACCTTCAGCTCATTTGTTATCTAGTCAACATTGGTGATGCTTGTTTCCGTTTTGTTCCATGGGGCAAAAGAAGTTCAAACTAATAGTGCTTTCTCACATTAGTTCACAAGTAAAAGGTGAGGCAAATTAGAAAATGCCAGTCACATCTGGAAAGGATGTACTTGGAGTTCAAGTGAACATGTTGAACTTGAAGGTAAACTATGTCCGAGACAAGTTGATTTATTGTATGCGGTCTTCAACAAGTACAAGGTCTTAGAGCCTTATTGATGACAGATTCCCTCTTACCATACCCGTTACTACCAGGCCTAGACTACTGGTGCTTTCTTTCACCTTTAAAACCCTCTCAAATTCCACTTAAAGATTATGATCATCCCTCTTTCCTTTTTGACCTCCCATATTTGTGTGTCTGTTACCAATTTGCCCATAGGAGGCCAGGAAATAGCTAGGTGTTCTTGTATTGCAAGTGCCAATACAAGTTTGCTGTTTTTGTTTACATCGATGTAATACACATGCAGAAAGCATGAAGACATATGCAAATTATTGATAGGTAAATCAGCCAACCGTCACCCGCCTTTTGCCTGCCACTTGCTGGTCATGACATCATGGCGCTCACCTGTATTGTAAGATTTCTTAGGCCACACCAATTTAATTTGTTGGTTCTCGGATTCGCCTCTTCGTTTTTTTTCTGATTTGCAAAAAAAAAAATTTGATTCTGGTCCTGAATCATCTGAAAAATGCTCATGTTTTGCCCCCAACAGTTGAGGAAAGTCCTTTTCTTCCTAGTTGTTACAGTTTTCCCATCTATCATTGCAGTGGTTTGATTAAAAGTTCAAAATTCAATGTTTAAATTTTAACCCAGCCTTTTGTGTTGACTTCATGGCTCATTCTGTAGCATTTAAGCCTATAATGGGATGCCTGGACCTGTTTTTATTTTTATTTTTTTTCGCCCTGTCGCTTCATATTTTTTCTGAAAAAATCCGAGAACCAACAAATTAAATTGGTCTGGCCTTACGTATAAATATTTAATCACTTTTCATCCAGGATAATTGGTGAGCAGGGTCACTACATAATATCCTTGATCCTTCTTGGTACCATGGCATTATGCTGCAGGCATTATTTTGTGTGTGACAATTCATACCAAAGATCTGATGTCTGAATAATTCCAATATTGCAATTTTGAACACTCAAAGGGGTTCACCGGAACTTCACCTAATAGAAATATAGTGACTGAAAGGATTTTACACAGCAGTTGGTTAAAATTACCAAGCTGCTTTTTGAACTGATCCCTATATTTGATGGGTTATATTCCATGTAATCACCAACCTCTTTTGTCACATTTGCAGGGTGTTTACATGCCATGAATGGCAGACACTGGCAGCAAATCATCAGAACTCAAGAAGCAGTGCCCCCTTACAGCTTCCTGTGAACTGCAGATGCCATATTCAAACTGCTCGCTGGAGTCAGATTACTGAGTGGCACATATACTGATAGAAATCCTGGTGACCAATGTTATGTTTCACTGTTGACTTATCTTTCATTAGATTACTATATACATGTAGGGCCTGTATCACACAAAATACCTACCAGCAATCATAACTAAACTAGAAATGATGACAGAATACTTGGTCACCAGGTACATGTACTTCCAGATACCAGTGAAACTGTAGATGTTACGTCTTTGAAACTGCCCAACACTTTTTTATCACCCCCTTGCTTGAAATTAGCATGTTTGCCACTATGATGCTTAGCAAATTCAAGCATCTACCACTCAGTACACGCATTCCCATCCTTCTCTTTTTGCTGGGGCTGGCAGTCTTTACTTCTCTGCACTACCTGAACTGTAAGGTAGGTGGCAGCAATGATCCAGCGAGCAGGCAGGCAGCTATGGACTATCAAGACAAAGACTATTACCTCACACTTCTCAACGAGCGCGAGGAGCAGCACAAGCAATATGTGGCAAGTTTAAAGAAGCAGATCAGTGAACTGAAACTCGAACTTGCAAGACGGACAGAAAAGATCAACAAGGGTGCACAACCAGTGAACGAGGTGGTCCAAGTGTTCGATGACCATGTGAACGACAATGATGACTTGAATGACTACCTACAGCAACAGATTGACAAAGCGGAAGTGCGGCATGGCTTCCGTATACGTAATGAGTATGAGATCATACCATTCAATATGTTCACGCCACAGCGAATCTACCAGCTGGAGATGGGACTGTACCGTCATCCTGAGGAAAAGCCGACCAGGAAAGACAAAAAAGATGAACTTATTGAAGCAGTAGAATATGCACTCGAACTCTTAAATAGCCAGAAGGCCAAGGACAGCAAACAGTTTAGTGTAAATGACTTTGTTGAAGGGCTCTATCGCACAGAGAGAAACACAGGCACCCAGTATGAGCTTTTCTTCCGATCAGGGGTATCAGGACGCATTCACCGTATGGAGATATTCCGTCCATTTGGGCCACTGCTACGGGTGAATTCCGAGGTCTTCGAAACATCCAAGAGCACCATCAACATCATTCTTCCCCTGGCAGGACGCATGGAGGCATTCCGTATCTTCATGCAGAACTTCAGGGAAGTGGGGCTGAAGCATGACCGGAGGGTGTTCCTCACGGTGGTGTACTTCGGACAGGAACACTTGCAGGAAGTAGAGAACACTCTGGAAAGCATCGCCAGGGAGACAGGCCAGAGAAGTTACTACAAACTCATTGCACTCAACGAGGAGTTCTCAAGGGGTAAGGGACTGGAAGTCGGAGCCAAGGCCTGGGACAAGGGCAACGTGCTTCTGTTCTTCTGTGACGTGGACATCTGGTTCACAATGGACTTCCTGGACCGCTGTCGGTACAGTACAGTGGCAGGGAAGAAGGTGTTCTATCCCATCCTCTTCAGTCTGTACAACCCCAGCATTGTGTATTCCCAGGAGAGTCGCATCCCTCCCCTGGAACAGCAGCTGACTGTGAAGAAAGATACGGGATTCTGGCGAGACTTTGGTTTCGGTATGACCTGCCAATATCTCTCCGACTTCCTAAACATCGGAGGGTTTGACCTTGACATCAAGGGGTGGGGAGGGGAGGACGTCAGCCTGTACCGCAAGTACGTGACCAGCGACTTGGTGGTGATCCGAGTCCCTGTGAAAGGACTGTTTCATCTGTACCATGAGAAAACGTGTGACGTGACTCTGTCTGAGGACCAGTATAGGATGTGTATCCAGTCCAAGGCAGTTGGGGAGGCATCACATGCCCAGCTGGGGATGCTGGCATTCAAAGAAGAGGTGCAAGCTCACAAAGCCAGCAGAAAACACTAGACAACTCCAATTTCTACAGCATACAGTATCAATATATCCATTTGATGAAAGCTGTAGAGATTACAGGAAAAGTTAGTCTACAAAGACAGATCCAAGTGCCTCGAAATTGTATAGCATTATGATAACGTTTTTCTTGTAGTTAAAATGAGCAGCATGTTCATCGTTACTGAATTGTGTAGACAATATACATGAACATATATAGACTGGATGGATTGTTACTATTAGGTACTTAGCATTGGTGGATAAAAAGCTACTTAACTTTCTGTCCGATCTTATCATGTATCATTGTGCTCATCAAAGGCCTTTAGCCCGAGCTAATTTCACTGTACTTAGTTCAATCTTACATGGAAGTATACATGTATATATTTTTTTCTTAAAAATTGGCCCATATGTATCATGAAATCAGGGCAAATATATATAGGAGTATTTGTTATTTCATTCTGTTTGTACTATTAGTCAGATATGTTTTATACCCTAGCTGGCAGCAGTTATGGAATTGGCTTTTGTATCAGCCTGGACTTGCAGCAGCGTCACCTAGCAGCTGGAACTATATTGCAGATGGGGACCACCTCAAGTTCACTTTTTCTGTCTTTCTTCCAAAACAGTTGCTTAACCATTCAAGGCTCTGGCCTCTTATTTACTTGTTTCTTCAAACTTTTTTGTTGTTTAAATTTGTATCATACATCAATCGTTCCTGATTTTCTAATGTTGTCACGTACAAATTGTTTAGAGTAACCAGCAAAAATGGACAGAATACAGTGTACTGTACGATATAATTTGATATGCCAATGTAAATCTATCCCATGTTAAACTGTTCCAAAGAGTATTGCATATAGTAGACCTAATTTTCTAAAAGGAAGTATAAAAACAGAAACTACCTCTAGAAATTCCAATGTTCCAGCTTCCTTTAGCTTTAACACAGTTCTGAATGTAGTCAAGTATAGCTGGCCTGTCTCTTCCTTTTTGTCCGACTTGTATTTCAGCTTAATGACTGTTGATGAAACTATAGTAGAGAATGTGAAGATAGAAATTACTGCTTTGCTCTATGAGATCCATTAGGATATACAGTACTAGTGTCCATGGGAATTTAAATTACATAACCAGAACATCAGGTTACTAGTAGTTCAGTCTCATGGTATCTTCTGTCAGGCTCATTTGGGAGTACGGCATATCAAAGTGCACTGGCATGTACATATACTTGGATATCAATCAAAAAATGCCAAAGCTGAAAGACCTGTAAGGCTAGAACATATGTTAATACAATAAGATATGGGACATGAAACAATGTTATATTTAAGGGTCTAGAAGCATATGTATATATTATATTATAAGATAATTGTAGCAATTTTGAAGATGACTTTGTGTTAGAATTCTTAATGAGCGTTGTTGTACTTGTACTTACAACTTCTTTAACTTTAAATATTTTTGTCACATTAATCAAAAGTTGTCCCTTTTTGAACGTCCAAAATGCTGTAAATTGCAATTGCATGTACTTTTGTTCCTATCTGAAGAAAGAAAATATGATAAAGTCAAATTATAGGTAATGAGTTTTTTTCTACTAGTACTGTACTTTTTTACTGCAAGCATGTCATGCCAGAAAACAATGAAATGTAACAAATTTGACGTCTCCAGTTGTGTCTTTAAAACAAACATAACGGTATTACATGTAATGATTTGGCATCCTTCTATGTGTCTAGGGAGCACTAAAATCATCTCATTTCAAACCTGTACAAGAATTATGACAATAACCATTGTTTCTTTAGACACATGGGAAGACACACACAGCATCCAACTTCGAAGGAAAACAACCTTTATTAAAACATTAAAATTACTTTGCAACATAAAATTCAACACGAACCTTCCAAACACCTTTCTGCCACTTGATAGTGTGTACATTATTGCAACCATAATACTCAAAATACTTCACTTTGCTCCACTGAACATGTACATGACTAATACATACTAACACTGCCAATAACCATAAAAGCTTATACCATGCTTCATATTCATAAAGATTGCTCTCATCTTAAAACTTAAGGCTGTCACTCCTGTGTTATACTATCCTTCCCAGCCTTCTTTACTTCAAGACACAAAAGGTGTCGTCTTCTCCATCAAGGCACCGTGAAAAAAGATCTTGCCATATACAAAGTGTAACAATTTCTTTCAAAATAAATAGTATATTTTCATTATATTTAACACAATCACTTATGTACAAAGTTTGAATCAAATCTTCAATAGTATCATGTGTGAGTCTTTTCAAGTTGCTTACATTACCATGGCAACCAGTCCTCATGGTCAATGTCAGCTCAAGGCACTTGATTGCTATTTATGAAGAATTTCTGTGTGTAGATTATTCATGAATAAATTTAAAGTTATTTTATCAGCTTATAAGAGAATAGTGAACAAAAGGGGTGACAATAGATCTAGAAAGCAATTTCCCAGTAGAATGAATCACCTAGTTGGGGTGAAAGAAAAGAAACAGTTGAACAGAACTTTGTGAGGTGACCTTGGTGGTATCATCACCTGTGATCTCTGCTGCATTCTGTATAATCCTGACAAGAAGGAAGGGTACATTTCTATCCAGTGGGGATGTTAGCGCAGCATCAAACATGTTGGCAGAACGTATTGCATCAGTATTTTGTATTTCTGACACAACATTTCAAAACTACAAACAGGATGTCATCCTCAAGTACATGAACACGACCTTAAAAAAATATGTTCTGTAGAAGTGCGATGCATGTTATGTTCCAGATTTTGTGCAGGCAGAGTACCTTCTGCCAACAGGCTGTCAGCACCCAGTAGAAATACTGAAGAGGAGGTGATCAAAAGGTTCTACACCATGTACAAGAATTTTGTGAGATGTTTAAACAGATGCGAAAAACATTCTTTGCAAACTAACTCTCCCCAAGCAGGCCCATATTGTGGTTAAACCAATCAATACGCTTCATGTTTCCATCAGAAAAAAATTCTACCCTAATCTCTGTGTACCATTTGTAATCCTGGCCAAAAGTTGTACAGTATCTTAGTTGTATTTTGTCATTCCATCAGATCAATGAATAAATAAAAACAAATTGTACCAAATGCAGTGTCTGAACAACGATCAGATTTGCATCAGTTCAAAGTTGTCATATAATTCTCTTACAATGTATATTGGCTTATCAATACTTAAAATATTCATATCGCTCTCTCAACATCTCTTTTGCAATTTGTTCCCTTTATCAAAGTTAAATTCTGTCACCAACTCTTTCGATGAGTGAAGTAATCTGTCCTTACAAAAAATATGTCCCCATCTGGACTGAAATTGCAGATCATTAAGATCACAGCTAAGTTGAAGTAGAAGTTACATGATACATCATTTTGCACATTAACATCAAGTAGTTTTTCAAGACATAATTCTAAGTGTGTGCAAAAGATACTGCATGAAGGGGACAACAGTTCACCATAGGCCGTCATAGCCACTCTATCATTCTGGCTGCTGGCATTATCACTGTGTAGCACTGGTTCTAAATTTTCTTCATCTTTTTTGACATTTGACAGTCAAAGCATGATTGCACTTCAAATATTTGACAAATGTAAATGGTAACCAGCTATGTTGACTTGACTGTTTCTTTCTTTCTTGTATTTATTATTGAAATGTTTTGTAGATTTATTTTACCAAACTAATTTTCTAATGGCTTCCATTGAAGAAATCAATCATACATGCCACAACACAGTTCAAAAGGGACACCACATGGCAGACTGTGGTACTGCAACAAGTATTTCTACAACATGTAACATGTACTAACCCAAAACATGGCCACCCTTCCATTAAGGACCCATTCAATCCTATGACCTACAAGGTAACTGTTATGTTACGGTGGCATCTAATAAGGGGATATGTCCACTGTGGTCATCTCAACTTCTGGCAGTGTTGTGCTGTGAGTAGTGGCCATGTTAAGGGGAAACTGTTACTGTTTACAGTAACTGTTGCAACACTAGAACTACCAAAAGGTGTTTCCACTAATGGATATTTCAGAATCATCAAACAAGATCCTGACCGAAATGGCCAACATAGGAGAGTTTTTAACTCCAATATCTGCAAACAATGTTTTGCCAACCTCAGGATGGACCATAGGAGAAAATGATGCACATGTACATCCCTTATTACATTGTAGCTTGGGACACTTTGTGCTAACTTTTGTCCACTCCATCAGTCTGTTCTTAGACTATGGAGACTTACATGAAGTGGCATCAGGCCCAGGTTACGTTCCCCATTCAGCCTTGTAATTACGGTTAGCAAGATTTATGCAACTGCACAAGGTAGTTGCTTCTTGCATTCCTTCTTATTACCATTTCAATTGCAATATATTAATTGATTAATATCACTTTTACACCAAGAACTTTCAAAATTGCTGTGAAACAGTCAATGACAAGTTCTTATTGAATCTTTCATGATAATAAGTAGATCATTGAATTGTTGTGCATGATTTTGCACACAAGTCTACCGAGTAGGTTTTTGCAAATTTTCTTAACACAGCAGGCTGTGAAAACAATGCCAATCAAAGAGGACTCAACTTATAAGCATGGGTTTTCTGATCTGAACGGAATGTCTTCTAAGCCAGACTACAAGCAGACAAAGCTGGTATGTTGAATCAAGGTCCTGAGAATGACAGATGTGATAAAGAACCATCCTTAACTTAATGTATACAATACATACATACACATATACATGTACATACAAATGATCACAATGTTGTCCTACAAATGTACAATACAACAATGCCTAAGAATGGTATACAGAAGCCAAAACACATCTAAAAAGGCACATGCACCTGCTGTAAAGGCCAAGTGTGCTGGCATTCAGAAACTCAAGTTTCAAAAACCACAGAAAACAGTTACCCAACATTGACACTATATACAGGCATGATTGCATGTCAGAGAATTATTAACATCAAGGTCTCTACTAGTCACAATCTACCACCCCACTCCACACTGTAATGTACAGCCTACTAACTTTGGCTCTCAAAGCCGCAAAATAGAAATTTTGTTGTAAAGCTTCAGATCAACCCGTACGTACCAGACAGGCAGGAAACTTCAGGCACACCAGACGTGACAGCAATGGCCAGCCTGTGGGTCCTTAGCAAATGGAGGCCTGCTCCAATATACAATCAAATGACGCCCCATAGCTGCTGAGGACCCCTGACATACACTCTCTTAACTCAAAACTTCCACCTAGTGCTCGACTGATTGAAGTTTTAAAATTCCAACAGAGGCCTGCAGCATTAGGTCAAAAGCCTTCATTCCAGATTGTCAGAAAACAAAGCTTTGTTGTGGAGGTTTTGAAATCAATTTTCAACTGTTACCTTCACGTTTCAATCGATCTGTAAAGAGAGGGCATTTTGAGCAGAATGTGGGTACTGGAATTTCAGCTACAACCAGATGTTTCACCCAAAGCAAAGCCTCACAAGAATTTGCAGAGCAAGCAGTATGTGGTCCAATAAGAGAATTGACAACAACTTACGTTCACCTCATCATGACATGAATACCATGCAAAACAGAGGTGCTTTGTCCATCAATCAACAGCTCAAATCTGTTCGTAGATTTATCAGATGTCACTGTTATCTTTGAGCAGTTCTTTTCTGGAGTGAAAAGCATGCTGTAGTCCAGCCTTATGGGCAGACTGTGTGGCCGTGACGTCGATCTCAGCGTACGCGGTTGGGTCCCTCTCCCCGGGCGCCACCCCCCGCCCATGCTGTAGACGTCGAGTGACAGGTAGTTCAGCTGCTTTCTGATGTGTTCTGTGGACTTGGGGATGTTCATGTAGTTTGCCTCTGGCACGATCGCACTGTGCTGGTGGGATGAGGGCAGGTTCATGTACGTAGGTTCGGTCTCTGAGACAGGCGGTATGTTCATGTAACTGTGCATGGCACCCGAGCTTCCTGCCATGCTTCTGGCAATGTCCAACCTCTGGGCAGCAGTTGGGTTGTGAGAGGGTGAGGTAGGAGGACTCATCGTGCCTGACTCTGTATTTTGTGTATTGATGCTTGCTTGACTGCCCGACGACTCACTTTCTGACTCTGATATGCCGCCTTTCAGAATCTTACCCCTGTTCACCTTGCCGTATGACTTTCCGTGTCTTGGACGTTCTATCGTGCAGGCTGAACTTTCGTGTTTCTTCTTTTTTCCACTACCCTTAAGCGGAAATTGTGAAACGTCTTCTTTGGTGCATTTTTCTGGTGTGCCAGAAGGAGGGTCAGTGTGGCGCCTCTGTAGAACATCGCCTGCATGGGTCACCTCTGGGTTCATCACCTCGTAATTGAAACTACTGTCAGTCCCTTTCAAGCTCCTCGGCTTTGGACTAGCTGGGTCAGTATGGCAACGCTCGCGATACTGACTAGCCTCAGCACTCTGATTGGGCGTCATCACTTCATACATCTGTGCAGCATCTTTGACAGAGATGCGTTTCGTTGGAGCACTTGACGCTCTTGTCAACTTGGGGGAGGTTGGATCTGTTTCTGTTTCCCCTGACAAGATGTCATCCAAGTCGCCCTGTAGCTGCTGCAGACGTGGTTTACCAGAAGACTTTTGAACTTTCTGGGCCATGTCCATGTAGGCTCCTCTTTTTTTCGAGTTATTCACGCCACCTCCAGTTGACTTCTGTCCCTTTGAGTTATGACTTTTTTCGTAGTCTTCCATTTCTTTCAGAGTTGCCATAAGTTCATACTGCTCTTTTGCCGGGATGTCCTTCAAAGTGGACTTCTGACCCTCTTTATAAGTGGTGAGTGACGGCAGATTTTGGTAGATTTCAGCAGAAATATCTGAGCTTGGCATCTCTGTTTTTCCTTTATTGGAAACTTCCATCACCTCATACCCATTGCCCTTACCTTGGATATTCAGACCCTGCGTTCCACGAATAAGTCCGGCAACATTTTCATATTCACCCTGCAGCTCTTTCGGCAGGACTTTCCTCTTCAAAGACGGAGATGGGACCCCTTTGAAAGTCTTCAGGGTTTTGAACTTGTCAGTGGACTCATGAGAATCATGTGAAACTTTTCTTCCAGGTAATGTGAAGAATTCTTTTGAGGAATCTCCTGTTGATGATGGAGTTGGATTAAGAAGGCAGAAGGGATCTTTCTTCAAGATGGATGGCTGCATGTCTTCATATGACATCCCACCAAGAGAACCTTTAGGGCAAACCTGATAGGTCTCTTCAACTACAGGAGTCTTGCCAAGAATAGCACCATATGTGTCTGCCATGGGCATCTCATCAAACTGGACATCCATCATCTCATAGTTGATGGGGGATTTCTCAGCTTGACCTTGAGCTGCTTCCATAGCAAGCTGCTGTTGCTTCTGTTGTTGCCAGAATGGCAGGTTCTCATATTGTGGTCCCTCTTCCTCCTCCACCCCCTTTGCTGGTTGCTGTTTAAGTCCTGGTACCATGCTCTCGTAACTTTCTTTCATTACAGGCACATTCTTGCTGATGTTTCTTGGCTCCATGGCTTCATAGGACTCCGCTACATGTACCCCTTCTGCTCCTTTGGGTCTTTCCTGCACTGCTGCCTCTTTTTCCATTGCCGGCTGCATGTCTTCATACGAGGATACTGGACCTCCATGACTCTGTGTTGCACGTTGGGCACTTTCTTCTGCTTCTTTTTCTGCTTCTTGCTCTTTGAGGACCTTCTCCTTAAGAAGCTGCCACCTCTTCATCGCAACATTGTCATAGATGTCTTCCCCAGTGGCCTCCTCCTGGCCCATACTGCAGAGTTTTCTCGGAACTTGGTACAGCGGTTCCTGGACCAGGCCCTCCCTGGGGACGGATTTGGGGCTGCTGCTACTGGACGTCTCGTCGGAGCTTGCCCTCGACAGGGGCCTGCCCTGACCTCTCCTGCCAACCGTGGGCGAGCACAGTTCACGAGGAACCTGATACCACTGCTCAGGACCGTCCTTCCTGCCAACCGCACCACCGATGCTGTGTGAGCGCATGGGCTTCATCTGCAGATACGCCTTCAGACTGTGTTGTCTGGCATGGCCCTGGTTCTCTGCCATGGTGCCGTAAGTACCGATCATCCCCTCCTCCTCCATAATGGCACTGTCGCCGGTAACGGACCCAGGAGGAGTCATCATCTCATACTGGCTGCCCCGGCCCGATTCTGAGGACGGGACGGGAGACGCAGGTGAGGTTATCCTCTGGTCTTTCTCGTCTCCCTGCTTCAGCTTGTCTAGATCCTCATCCATGTCCCCACATTCAGAGGTATCTGTGGGAAACCAAAATGCAACATTAATGTATAAGAAGTTTCTTTATTCAACAACCAGGGGTTTTCATATCCATGTTTCTTTGACATCTATCACCTTTTCCAAAGCAACAATGACTGGTTCTCATCTGTTCAGCAGCTAGGTGTAGCTGCTGCACTATTACATATTACTAATACATATGTATACATATTGTCATGTTATACAATGTTCAGGTATGAATAAACATATCATATTTCAGGTTGGCCATGACATGCATGTCATAATACACATTCTACATCATGCTATCCACCAGACAAGGAGAGGACAAACTGATCAGTAAGCATCTCTGCCATTGTCAGAACAATTACAGACAAAGGGCCATAATGCCAAATCATACAGCCTTCGTTAGTTATGAAAGTTAAGTATAAAACACTTGAATTGTCTGAGTGACACATACCTTCCTCGCCATCACTGTTGTCTTTCTTCAGGGTTCCATCCGAGCATTCAAACACTTCATCTGCAGTGTCTGGGTCCGGAGACTGGGGCAACACAGAAATAGTCATTATTAACTGGAAAAAACTCCATTCCATTCCATATCTGTTGACATAGTCTTATAATTTGTACATTGTTGCAGTGTTAGTGCGGATGTTGTTCAGCACCAAGGACAGGGACAGCAGTGTTAGTGTGGGTGTTCTTTAGCACCAAGGACAGGGACAGCAGTGTTAGTGTGGATGTTGTTTAGCACCAAGGACAGGGACAGCAGTGATAGTGTGGATACTAAGGACAGGGAAAGTTTTGTTAGTGTGGATGTTGTTTAGCACCAAGGACAGGAACAGCAATGTTAGTGTGGATGTTTTAGTACCATGGACTGGTGCAATGGCCAAATCAGGAACCAACCTTGCGTTTATCCTGGTCTGTAGAGAAGCTGGCAGTGTCAATGGCTGAGTCTGTCAGGCTCTTCATGTCACTAAGTGAGGAGGCTCCATCACTGCCGAGCTCCATGTAGTCTGAAGAGGAGATGGTGTCCCTTCTGTGACTGTGGTCATCCTGGCCTTGGCTTGGCACGGCTGGGATCTAAGGCAAGAAGGGAGAGACAAAACAGTTCATACATATATAAAGTACTTCACTGGAGTGACTGGACCCATGTTGGACAGGTTTCTCTACACAACACAGTATCTGGTATAGGCTTGATAGACATTCTCTGTAGGGAATCTGAAAAGGTCAGGAACATTTTCACAATGGTTAAGACAGACTTTTTGAAAGCCTTTGACCACAATAGCCATTGAGAAGCTGTTACGACTTGGAGTAAGGAGGAGTTTCATCCTACATGTGACTCAGGGCCACACAGACATTTGTGGCTCACCTTTTCTGCCAGTTTGGTCAGGTTCTTTGGCACGTCATAGTTGACCGCTCCCACAGACTGGGACCTACTGTCCACCTTGAGTGGAAGGTCCTCCTCTGATGACATCGCGAAAGGCTGGTCCATATCCTGGCTCTGTGACATCGGTCTGACGATACCGATCTCCGCGTGGTGCATACGCGGGGTGTCGTACAGTTCTTTCGCCTTGTTCGGCGTGTCGTACAGGTGCTTGGGACTGCTGCTGCTGCTTCTGTTGCTGTCCTGGTTCAGGTGCTCATACGACTTCCGACTGAAATTTCTTCTGAGGACTGGGCTGGAGCTCTCTGAGGTGAGTTCTGTGGCGTGGCCGTAGGAGGCACCACTGGAGGCCGAGGACAGACTGAGAGAGTCTTCGGAACATCCCAGGTATCTGGTGTAGATGCCTTCTGACGCAACTGACTCTGAAAATAGAGGTTACAACATGAATTTGCGCTCAGATCCATACTTCAAAGGCTATGTTAGGAAGGATAAATCTTGTTCAAACTCATGGATTTACAAGCAGTTGGTTGAGACAGGGAATATGCTTCACAAATGTTCTAATACCTACTTGTATATCCTGCAAACATACATGCGAAAAAAGTGAGAAGGAAACTGCACATCTTTCATACAAGGACAGCATGACAAAACAAACATTCAAACTGGAAAAGGACAAACAAAGACTTCTTACATAATATTCTATCTACCCCATTTAGAGGAGAACAAAGTACAAGCAACAGAAGCAAGACATTGACCATCTGGAGAATGCAAACACTGAAAAATTGCTGCATTGTCCATATCTATGTACCACTGAACTTACTGAAAAAAAATATTTTGTTAATAGGGTGAAAAGGCAGATGATAGTTTGATTAGATGGAGATGGAGTTGTGTAACTTGTTGTGATGTAGTCTCCCTCCTACAACCTAGGTGAGTGTCAAGCCTACTACAGTACTTGCTGCAGACAAGATCAAGCTATTAGAATCAGAAGTATTCCTTTACATACCAAGAGTAATGTACTGAGCCTCAACATATAGCATCACCTCTATTTCTTACATACTTGCCCATCCATTTTCCTGTAGGTTGGTACTAGTACTAGTAAGCAATTGGTAGAGTAATACAATGTATGTACATTACTTTGAATTTGATTTGCAATTCAAACAAAATCCTTTCTAGAACCAACTCCCAGGCTTGTGCCATTTGATTTGGATTGTATAAAAGTCAATACCACATGACACTTAGATGTTGTGCCCAGTACATGTACTAATGACTGTAAAGAAGAGTTTTAAACTTTTCTACATTTTTGCTGGTTACCTTGGTGACCAGTGAGCCACCTGTGGTGGGCGGGAGATACGGTAACCCGTGGCGACACCCCTGTCAAGCACAGGTCAAAGTTCAAAGTGTCACTCACTGAGGTCGTATATATCAGACTACATTGAATGCCACTTTGAGGTCTAAAACAAATAAGCAATACATAAACTGACCTAATGTCAAACAGAATAAGCACATACATGTAGACAAAACATAACTGACATTAAAAGCCACAAAAAAGTTACTTTTCACTAATCAAACTGCATACATGTATTTCCTTTCCAAAAGCACTCTTTTTCTGCCATTTTATGTTGACATTAGAGGTGGTAAAACATAAAGTTTTACCACTTCTGCATGAAATGGCCAAACTCTACATGTATGTCAGTATGATACATATTTGCATACATCATGTTTTTTCAGTATCACAACACCAAGATACGATCCCCTTCATATCATCCTTACAGCATTATACTTGAGAAACTACCAATACCAGGGTAGTTATGTAGTACACACAAATTCTGTAATCCATGTACTTCGGCAAAAAAATGCAATAACACTTGACGCATTTTGGTTGGCAAAGAATATGTGCTAAAAAGTGAAAAACATGCCAAAGTATATCAATTAACAAGAAAGTTGCAAGTTGCAAGCAAACAGCTGTAACTGTTTCACCTGTTCATCTCAACCAATTCAAATAAATAATCCTTTTATGGATTTAAAATTTGTCATTTCCATGACAGTAAATCAAACTTTATGAGGCATTTTTACTATAGCATTTTCATAACCACTTGATAAACATCTGGCCAGTTCATATAGATCCCGATTTTTTATTAGAAACCTTTTCATACATCCGAAATAGAAGTTATTTTCATGAAAAAAAAGGTTAACTTGCACTTGTAGAACATATGGTCCTCTTTGACGTTGAAAATGAGCCCATATACAATCTGTATATAAGGAGACTTGGAGCTTCTAGACTTTTCACAGAGAACTTTCCAGAGATCCAGGATGGTTGGATGTGGCGTGCTCTCCTTCGTTTTTGTCATCTTTGTGCCTGTCCTAACCTCAGGGTGCACGGGTAAGTTATCACCTCTGTGAACAGAGGTATTGTTTTCGGTGTGTCTGCTTGTCTGTCTGTGGTGGTAAGTCAATGGTAATTTCCAACTGTTTTAACAATCACTTGTGGATTTTCAAAGAGTATAGCAAAAAGTCTTCCTGGATGGAAGAGTACATGTTATCAAGAACTTTCGTATGGCAATGTACTGATGTCCTCACATCCTTGATTGATACTACCTTTCTATCCTATTGTCCATCAGACACAGAGTACTATAACTACTATGATGAACTGGCCCAAAGCATCTGTACGGCTGCCTCTGGCCGTCCAGCATTTGTCTTTGCACTGCGTCGTGACTGTAGTGGGATTGCCCCTACCTGCCATAACATCTGCTTGTCTGCCCGAGCAGATATGCGGGCAGTAGTCAGCAGTGGAAGGTATGCTATCTCCTAGTATAAGCATCAACTAAGGTTCAATTAGAACAGAGGAAAGGAAAGGAAAGGTCTCCCATGCTTCTTATGCAGAGCGTAGGGTGGTGCCCATATCCATTTCTGTAGCCCTTGGGCGACACACAGTTGTGCAATGCACTACAGCAGGGGGCTGGTCCGCTGGTAGTGCTGTGTGTTTGACCTCCCTACACTTTTTCTCATATGTGCTGAGTGCTAAGCAGAGAAAGAAGTGTGTACCATTTTTAAAGTCTTTGGTATGACCCGGCCGGGGTTTGAACTCACGACCTCCCGGTTACAAAGCGAGCACTCTACCAATTGAGCTATTGCACCGGTAATTAGAAGAGAGAGCGTGTAACTAATAACTCGCCGGCCCTTCAAATATGTTTTTGGACACTTATTCCTGCTGCGATCCATTGTTAAATTTCTTTGAAGTTTGATCGCTTTGTTCGCTACAGTCTTTTACTGGCTTTTCCATGCAATGTACATTTGTAGGGGATAGAACTGAAGGCTAGTATCAAGAGCTAATAAAGGACCTCCAGGCCATATGAGTCAGTAACTCAGTACTCTCTCCTTTTGATTGAACCTTCTTGAAACAACTTGCAAACACAAGAACTAGTACTGGTCACTCTACTTTGTGTTATTCTACTAGAATGATGATGAACAATGATGCTAGAATTTCTAGCATCATTAAGAAGCAAAAGTGCCAATCCCTATTTCCTGTTCATGTTCTAAATGTATCCAGTAGAATTTGCTCTAGGACTTTTTTCTTATCCCCTGCAGTACTGCTGAGTGCTTTGATGCTGTGAACATCGCAAAGAATCGGCCGTCACTTCTGCCCAACCCTACCAGTCACCAGCCTGATGCCGGCAGGGTTGGCCTGGTAACATATCGCTACCACCAGGGTGGCTGTACCTGGACACCCAACCACTGCGGACCCAACTACTGTTGCTGCCGACTGCGCTGATAATACATATAGTACCTCTGGGAGAATGTTACTGCATGTATCAGAGTAGCGAGCACAAGGTGGTGCAACATCAGAGATTTACCTCAGACATACCAATAAAGCTTGCATAAAATCTAATGGCTGATTCTTGTCCTGTGTCTGCCTTTTTTATTCCCATATTCATAATGCAATATTCTTCCAGCATGATTGCTTCCCTCTCTGTCTGCAGACTAGACTTGCCATGAACTGGCACAGAAAACTGACCAATCTATAGAGAGTTAAAGTCATTGAACATATACATTGTATCTTTGTACCTGTGCTGGGATGGTGTGAGAGAGAACCCCGCAGGTCCATACGGGGAGGGGGGACCCCACTGGCCACACAGTTGAACAGCATCTGTAGGCTGTCTGCCTCTTCAGTGTGGATATAGAACAGTCCTGACCCTGTGAAGTACCCAGTAAATAGACATAAGTTCATGTGAACTTGAGAGGAAGTTAATATTTAGCGTATGGCCTTTGTACTACTGACATTTACAAGCACTTTCATCTTATGACATGTTATTTCTTTTCAATAATCAGCTGCAAAAAAAGTTTTGTTTTCATGAACCATTACAAAAATGACCCACATGTCCAAAAAAAGTTGGTGACAAATGCCCTTAATTCTTCTCCCTATTGCCTAATCCCATTACCAATATGTACATATTTTGTGTCGGACAACTAACTACTGGTAACATAGCAGGCTGAAGGTTAAAGTTACCTTTCCCACACTTGGAGCCTGCCTCAAAACTGAAGCCGCCTGCAATGGCGCCGTACCGCCGTATCCCCTGTAACTGCCAGCACCACAGCAGCTTGGGCGGGACGCCGTGTGTGAGGCAGAAGTAGTTGGAGTAGAAGTGGAGCATGGCTGGGCCGGTGGGGAACTTACTACCAGAGGGGATGACCACTGGGAAGCGCCAGGCTGGGACAGGAAAACATCTTGTTATCCACATTATCAAGTCAGACTGTCAGAGTCTTGTTACCCAAATGGTCATGGTAAAAAAAGCCTTTGCATGCAAGTGTAGGCTACATCAATACAATTTCAACTAATACTTGCATCCTCACTTTCTTGATATCTGAGTATGCGTGTACTGTGCCTGTGCAAAATCAGAATTTTTCACATTTTCAGTTGGATTTTCGTCAATGTTTTGCCCATTGCAGACAATGTTTTTCCCATCACAACATTTGATTACTATGGACAGGATGTCATCCTTAAATACATTAATTCGACCTTAAAAGAGATGTTCTGCCAAAGTGCAATGCAATACATTACAGGTTTCACGCAGGCACAGTATGTACATGTATTTACTGATTGCTTTTCATGATCACCATCATTCGTGCATTTTTAGAACTAGAAGTCATGAAAAGCTGCTACTTTTAAAATTACCATAGATACTTGATGAGTCCTTCTCTTCTGATGTTTGAAATTTATAATACAAGAGTTCCATGACCCCATACCTTGTGACGAAGTTAGCAACATCAAAAGTGAGGACAACATTCTCCCTCAGCATGCAAGTGAACATATGACTTACTACCTTCTCCTATAGTGGAGCGAATCTTGAGTTCCCAAACCAGCATCTTCTCTCTGCTCTCGAAGGCCAGCAGCAAGACCCGCTGCTGACAGACAATGGCCATGACATGACTGACTCCGTCCACAACCAGGCCTGACTCGATGCCACAGAAGTCCTCCAAGGAATGGGTGGCTTTTTCCCTCCCATCTTTGTTCTTATCTGCTCGGTCCTTGTACAGGGTCATAGACAGGCGGTCTAGGAGAGAATAAAGCAATGTGTGAACAAACAAAACTGGGACAGCATACAAATACTATTTACTTTAAAGAGACAGGTGTTTCAGAGTCTAAAACATGCGTATAGCAAATAACATTATGTTTAAATCTTATATATATACTAACTTTTTCTGTGCTCCATTCTATACATATAACGTTACTTCATACCAGGTCACACAAGAGTATTTTTTGCTTTGGTTATCAAAGTTACCAAACATTCAAATTTCCAAACATCGTTACAATCTTAGCAGGAAGATGACAGGAGGGACCTATTATATTGATTTTGTTGATTGCATAGAGTTGACCTCTCATGTTACATTCCGGTATTGCATGAATTTATAAAAATTTGCATTTATTCATTTTTTGCCATACAAGACATACATGTAATGTTACATCCTGTAGGCTGTTCAACACAGCTATGTCAACCTTAACCCACATTACTTATTATGCTTACGTTGAGAAGGACTGCAACAGAGATAGGCAACAAACAAATCTGGGCAAATTTCCTCAATCAACCCAGTCTTGCATGGTTAACCTACTGCAGTACTCAGATTGTAACACAGAGGTCTCCAGTGCAACAGGAACAACACACAGTTTTCCACTGACAACAGGGAAATGTCACACACTTGCACAGCTCCTGTTTATCTGGAACAAGGTCCTATTGACCAACAAGGGATGACAACTACAGCACAAGATCTGTACTCAGCTTCTAAGGTTCAGCCTGAATATAAGCCTTTAACTTTCATGTACCTCCGAATGTTCACATATTTTTAGCATGTGAGATATTGGCCTAAGCATTTGATAGATAGTAGCTGCACCAAGTTGTAATTGTTGTATTACAGTGTACTTTGAGCCATTTTGAGCGGTAGTTTTTACTATGCTTGCTCGCGTGTGTACACAGTTTTTGTACCATCCGGTTTTTGCCTGCATGTAAATTGGGTCTATCTATGATATGGAACCACCACAGATTCAGGACCAGGTCATTGACCGTCTTCAACACAAACAGTAGCAGGAAACCCCACATCTTAGACCTGTCCTTGAGACAAGCCATCAATAACACTCTCCTGCTTCTTAAGGAAGCTGGACTGACAAGACTCCGGTGCAGGCCATTCTGCAAATGTAGAGAATTCTGCAGGCAAGGTCCCCTATCCTGAACAGAATTTCTTCCTCCATCGTCACCTTGAAACCAAAGTACTCTTTTGGTCTGAACTACAGCAAATAGACCATTAGGCAATGAAGAGTCCTTTTTCAAAGGTTCTGCGTAGAGAAAAAATGTCTGAGAACCAGTAAGTTTTCATAGTGGATACAACAGTTTACTGAATGTAGGCTTTCCTAAACATTTTACGTTTACACAAAAGCAGGAAATAACACACAATGTAATACTGTAATTGTTTAACAATCATCCATCCCATACTGTGATACACTTGAGATTGAGGAGGATGAGCTTCAGTCAAAATAAGCTCTATGGTTGGCTATTCCCTTTCTTCTAAAGGAATATTACTCTGACTATCCTTCTATTAATACAAATGCATCTTATTTCTTTGAACTAGAACTGGTGTAGCTTTTTACTTTGGAAAGTTGAAGGTTGAATAGGTATAGAAGGTTGAATTTTTAGGTCGTAAACTTTAAAATAGACTAGATGAACACCTTCTTTTAAACAGGTGCATTTGCATCAATATCTATACCTAAAGGAGTAAACAAATAAGAACAAAACAGCCCCTTTTCATGTTCTTCCTGGGATTCCATCATCACACTGACCCATATCAAGCATGGACAACTGATAGTGGGGTCATTTCTCTATCCCTTGCGGTACCCAGATATGTCCAGTATGGGCCAAACTGTCAAGCCACACTCCCGTGCAATATGATCCACCATCACAACATCTACTGATGTACGACAAACATAGCACCACCATCAGAATCCCTTCCGCCATTTTGTTTTGGTACCACGAGGCATATAGATAACCATTTCTGTTTCTTCAACAAGTGTACATTCTTAGAGCCTCCACGACCACAGTAATGGTTCCAGAAGATCATATCAAATGCTTTGGAAGATTCTGGGATGAATTTTACATGTAGTCTGTAGTTATCTAATTGTCTAGCCATTTTCACCACAACATGACAGCACTGGAAGAAGAAGCAGGGGATCTATATAAGGATGGGAGAGCACGACAATCATGTCAACAATGTAACCCACATGACCCTTCGCTCGACCTTCAACAACAACATGAAGACTTGTTCTACACAATGGCACATACTCTTGAAACCGGTTCACCGGTGAAATATGAATTTTTTGGCATCCAATCTGCGAAAATATGATCAATCTTGCACAGCTGGTAAAAGGAATGTAATCAGAATGCTGTGCAACGTGCTAGGGTCCAATATCGCATACCATCTGCAAATCTTTACTGTATAATGTGATATGTTTGCATGCTATATTCCCAGTTACAGGGCAAAGTTTTATTTTACAGTCACTCTGAGTTATATTTCACACAGATTGACGTCAACATGATCAGTGCCCAGTTGTGTGGAGGTCATCAGCTGTTTAGCAACAGGCCTGAATGTCAGGAATATCATTTTTTTACAATCTTTTTCACAGCTATTTTAGGAGCCAACAATGATGTTAAGATAAAGGATATAGATACAAATTATCAACTTGTTCAATTGTAGGTTATATATATATTATAGAGAGAGAGACAGACAGAGAGTGAGTGCGATGGAGAAAGACTACCAGTATTAACTATCATTCTGACCAAACTCTTTTTCAGTTTATTCTAAATGAATCAAGCGCAATTTTTTAGACATTTAAAAATTTTTAAACAGTTGATTTTCTTCATTGAAATTGTACTGGTCTCTACTTCTCCTGTTTCAAGAGAAGAACAATGTCAGCCAACCAGACCAATTTGGAAGAAAATCCAATCTTCACTGCACGTACAGAAAGTAATCAATATTTTGTATGTACTACTTTGTTCTCTGTGTGGGGCAAACTACAAACAAGTTATCAAGGAAAAATATAATGTTTTTATTATAAACTTTTCTTTATGTTAACGTTATTCCTCTAATGCTAACAAAAAGGAATCATACAAATTCTTTTTTACATTTCTTTTACATCTCTTTTCAGTTTGACGTCTGTTTTATATTATGAACAGGTATTGCTGTTTTCAAATTGTTGTTGTTTTTATTGTTTCAGCCCTCCAGACTGCTCCCATTTTAGGAGCATATTCTCCCTAAAAGTCATGTGCCTCGATTTTCTTACGGGAGCATCCAGCGCTCTCAACAAAAATTGCATACATCGTAATGCAGACTGCTTAACTTAATAGTCATATCACGACTGTATATTTGCTTCCTTACTCTATGATCAGGATCATTCCACTCTGCGTGTTTCTATATACAACAAGCACAGTAGTTCCTGTCCTGAAAATTTATGTTCAATATGACGATCTACCTTCATAGTGGTGCACCCCAGTTTTTTTTTTGTTGGCACCGGTGCAAAAATTTAGTCTGTATTTTGGATTCTTGATCATCACACTAGTCCGATGCACATGGCTTCAATCTCTCCAGCTATCACAGTAGACTTTCACAAGGCAGTTACCATGGTAACTGATGTGAGAACCTAGCTTAGCTCTTGACCCTTAAACACAAATCTGTCCTTTGTGATTCTCTTGGGATGCAATTATGTGAACTTTCCCAGCTTAGTTAGACATCCTGGGCATTTATTGTGCACATTGTGAAATTCCACATGGAAATGGAAATTAAAGATTCCTCTCAGAGGTGTTCTGCAGATTGACAGCCAGTGATTATATTAACTTCAACAATCAATCATGGTATAGCGTCCGCCAATAAATTACATGGTCATGTCATGATAACTATATTGGGCATTGGAATAATATTACATGTACATGACACGGCCATCACAATTCTTCTGGTATATTGACCTGCTGACAATGTCATGAACAATAACTAAAGAGCTGTGTCCATGCATGTTCATGATATCAACTGGCATTTCCTAATACTACATGTATCTTCTGCCACCCTTTTTGCTAATAACCAACAATCAAAGAGACAGCTAATGTTAACTACATGATTGTATAAACTGCAAAAGACTGTTGTTTTTTCAATAATTTTTTTCACCACAAAATATGACGATAGACTGAGTAAAGCAAGAATACAGTATCAGAAATTGTTCCCAGTGACAACCCCAATTGTTTCCTCACAAGCAGCTGCTGGTTAGTTAGAAAGTGTCACCCTTCAGAGTAACTACTGCAACCAAGCCAGAAACATTACCAGTGCCTGCTATAATTTGACAAATGCCTGAGTGTTCCATGTGTTACATATCAATTACCCCCAATGGTATTAGAGTTAGTTTTAAAGGTTGTATTTCAAGGTTGATATTACATACATGTAGATGTGTCTTTATTACCAAAGCCTTTCCTTGAACAAAACAGATTTCTATGAATATCTCTAGGATACGACAGACAAGTACAATTGTACGTGCCCTTTATAAGTACTTTAAGTAACAGGTACATTTAGTAAGTATATACCTACAAACTTTTACATAACCTTTGCCTGCAGTCCTATACTTAAATGCCTACAATTACATGGGGAGGGTTATAGTAATTGGACAAACAACCAACCCCCCCTCAATGATTAGAAACAAAACTGTTTGGGTTTGCTCTTAAAACAGGAGTGCTCCACTGGGAAGGACTGGCTGTCTGAATCTGAAACTGTTCCACAAACAAACCAGTTTGTTCTCCTTGTGTGGTGCAGCACTTCTTGCAAATCAATCTTCATAATATGTGTAAGAGGGCAAATGCTGTCACCAAAACCACCAACATTTGCCCTAAAAATATTTACTACATATGATCACATTTGTATGTCCTGTTAGTTGCTTCAAGTCTGATCAAATCTGAAAGTGAATTTCTACATACCTCGGATACAAATGTATATTCCGTATCTTGTTGCAGAGAATAATGCATTTAAACAG